ATTCCCACCTCTGTTCATGTATGTATAGATTTACACTTTCTGTCATGGAAAACATTAAAATCAAATTTCACATGTTTTGTTTTTCATCCTCCTGGCATCAGCTGAGGTTAAACATAAAAAAGGCTGCAGATCCAAAAAGCTGGCAGGTGAGGACTTTAAGGTCCTGACTTATCTTAGAAGTTAAACGCTGGAATCAAGTTGAGCTGATTGTGTTGTTGTTTGGTACGGAAGCTCATTTGGATCATCTCCAAAGGACAGCAGAGGTTAAGCTTTAGGGGGCAGTAAACCATCCATACTCAGTGGTACTACAATGTTCATTTCTACTAATGCTTGTGTATTTAAAGGTATGTTTTCTCTTTTTTAAGCTGATGCATGAACGCATTCCATCGAGGTCGTCTCGTTAGCAGCCTGAAATGTTTTGATCACTTAAGGGAGCGTTTTGATTGGCTCCCTGGGGCCATGAGAAATGCACATACATTAGTTGAATGCGTTGGAGCTTCTGAGATCCCTGCGCTCTGGTTTATTCAGTGACTGGTGGGCGAAGCAAACGCAGCGTTTCAGTATCAGAGGACATCTGGGTGGAGAGGAAATGCTTTTCTATTTGTTCTTGGATTTGTGCTCCTGTTATCTCTCTGCTTAGTCACTGGAGCAGAGTCGGTTTGAGCTGCTTTATCAGAGGAATCTGTCAACTGAACAACAGTTTTCTTTTTATTTATTGCTAAAATATGTTTGATGTTAATTATAGTTTTTAACAATACAGCATTTGGATTAAGCGACATTAAAGTATATTTACCCAGACTTCTACATAGTAACTGAAATATGGCAGCAACAAAGAAAACGTCTTAATAAAAAGAGGTTTAGTTTCTAACATTGTTAGAAATACTTTAGAAAATTTGATATTAGATTTTCTTAATTTTCTTAATTGTATGTCATGTGGTTCCTTTTTGTCCCCTAAACTCTAGTTTTTGCTTTGCTGTCCCCAAATACTGTGAGTTTATATAATAATAACTGAATTTTATTTATCTCAAACTGGAGAAATTAACCCTCTGCATTTAACCCATCCCCTTGGGGACCTGTGGGCTGCCATTGTGCGGCAGCCGGGGAGCAGTGTGGGGATAAGGGACCCAGAGTGCAGGCTCCAATCATGTATTTGCAACCTTCTCAGAGGACAAGTGCACTGTTCTAACCCATAGGCCAACACCTAAACCTAAATTTAGGTTCCTATATCCTGCTTCATCCAAGTTTAAAGACCACCTGTTTATATCAAACCATTTTTGTTCATATTAATTTCTTACATTAGAGGTTTTCAACATTTATCCGGCCAAGGACCCCCAAACTAATGGCGAGATGGAGCAGGGACCCCTAATTTTATATATTGTATGAAATAGTGTTCTATCAAACTGGTCCTATAGTCACTCTATTATATATGGAGTGATGTAAAGAAAGTAATTTCTCCCTGGGATTATTAAAGTATTTCTGATTCCTGGTTGATGGGACAGGTGTTGTGAATGAAACGGTGCCCAGCTTGAAAGAGCTCCTGTGTGTCTCTGAATGTGTGCATTGATGATTGAAAGACATCTTCTGCCTCCATTTATCTGTTTACTACAGTCTGTTGAATTCATGTTCATGTGGATTTAAAGACATTTCAATTAGTCGAAAAAATCGACCTAAACTTTCCTGACCCCCATGCAGTACCTCCATGGACCCAAAAGGGGTCGCGGAGCCCTGTTGAAGACCTCCGTCTTACATGCTTACCAGAAGCTAAAATATGTAATTAAAGGATACATTATAGATATAAATGGGTTTGGTTCTTAACATATATCCTTGTGGTACACCACATCAAATATTTAACATGAAATGCACCCATCTTCACAAATTGTTGCTTTTTACCATTCCAATTCGGTTGAATGCTGCTTGAAATGGTCTGTTGAAGTTTAACCATTCAACCCATTTACACCACCCCTTTGAAACTGTGCGGACATCGGTCCCAGTACGGTAACCAAGATAACTGTTGAGTGTAAATGGCATGAAAACTGGACCGGACCGCGCCAGACAGAACCAAACCGTGCTAACATGGTACTAGTTCATCAGTAGGGCTCAGCGCTTCAGTTCTGACGCGGTTTTCAGATAACAAAGAGTGCATGAGCAAACTGCGTCATCTCCTTACAGTCATACATTCATAGAAATACTAGCTTCCCTACCAATCCACCTGATTTCCAGTGATGATTCTGCTTAAAACCCTTTAGAGGGCAAGTTACTGTTTTGATTACTTGCATACCCCTTACAAATGGAGCTGGTTTTATATCCAGCCAATCAGCAAAGATCCTGCTACATGACTGTACATCTTATTTGGCATTTGACCAATTAGATGAGCTCTTGAATCATTTGTTACCTTTATTATAAATTAAGTTGAAAAAATTTAAGAAATTGAGAAAAAAAAGGTAAAAAGCTGAGCGAAAAAGTTAAAAAGCTAAATAAAAATTTACAAAATAAAGTGCAACAGTCAACAAGCTATGTTAAAGAAATAAATGTTAGCGCTTGTATCAGCATTAATGCCTCTAAGGTTATTATGGAACAAAAATATTTTTCTTGTTTCTTTTCGTGTTTCTTTCACTCTTGAAGTTTTTTTCATGAATTTCTTATAGAAGCAATATTTAAATTTTTCCTAATATATGTTAGGGCAAGTGGCCGTTTCTTGTTATTACATTGATGTCAATTTTTGCCATCAAAATATACAAATTTTTTTATTGTTCCAAAGGTTGTCCTGGATTCCAATAACACTCTGCTTGAATTTTTTATTTTCAAAGTATTTCCCTGAGTGCTAGACTCCGCAAACAATAAAATAACACAATTAATTACCAAACATCCTGAATGTTACGGGCACCGCCATGTTGATTTGCTTGTTTGCCTGTAGAGAGCAGAAGTGCCACAGATCGTCACTAGGAGGTGAGGAACCGTGCTAGAGTAGTGTGTAAACGGTCGTTAGGAACTAAGCTCGGCATGGTTAACTGATCCAAGCTCGGTCTGAATTCAAATTAGGAGAATAAAGTCGTAACATTAGGAGGATAAAGTCGTAACATTAGGAGGATAAAGTCGTAACATTAGGAGGATAAAATCGTAACATTAGGAGGATAAAGTCGTAACATTAGGAGGATAAAGTCGTAACATTAGGAGGATAAAGTCGTAACATTAGGAGGATAAAGTCGTAACATTAGGAGGATAAAGTCTCGTAACATTAGGAGGATAAAGTCGTAACATTAGGAGGATAAAGTCTCGTAACATTAGGAGGATAAAGTCGTAACATTAGGAGGATAAAATCGTAACATTAGGAGGATAAAGTCGTAACATTAGGAGGATAAAGTCGTAACATTAGGAGGATAAAGTCGTAACATTAGGAGGATAAAGTCGTAACATTAGGAGGATAAAGTCGTAACATTAGGAGGATAAAGTCTCGTAACATTAGGAGGATAAAGTCGTAACATTAGGAGGATAAAGTCTCGTAACATTAGGAGGATAAAGTCGTGTAACATTAGGAGGATAAAGTCGTAACATTAGGAGGATAAAGTCTCGTAACATTAGGAGGATAAAGTCGTGTAACATTAGGAGGATAAAGTCGTAACATTAGGAGGATAAAGTCGTAACATTAGGAGGATAAAGTCGTAACATTAGGAGGATAAAGTCTCGTAACATTAGGAGGATAAAGTCGTGTAACATTAGGAGGATAAAGTCGTAACATTAGGAGGATAAAGTCGTGTAACATTAGGAGGATAAAGTTGTAATATTACGAGAAAAAAATACAACAACAGTAGTCATGAAATTACAAGAATAAAGGCTTAATATTAAGAGAATAAAGTCGTAAAATTAGGAGAATAAAGTATTTTATGACAACTCTTCCAAGTTTGGCATCAGTTTGACAAATCAGGAAATCTTTTAGCAGCAGCATCAAACTGGGCAGGATGTCAAAGTGTACTCTGGTTGCTGATTGGTGGAGCTGGTCGGCCGTCGTCTGCTGGTTGGAACTCGAAGCTTTCTGAAACGGTTGTTGTTTGATGACATCATTCTCGTAATATTACGACTTTATTCTTGTAATGTTATGACTTTATTCTCAAGATAGAAGGAAAAAACCCTCTAGCCTGGCCATAATACTCCCTCGTATATATTGTGACCCAAGGGGCACTATATTTAGTTCCATGTAAACCTCTTTAAGTTTATGTATTAGATTTGTGATGTTTACGTGTTGTAGATAGCAGCCTGGTGAGGACACACGCTCACTTTGTGGCTCCACTCCTTTGTTATTACTCCCACCCACTACATCTGTTGCAGTTACATGCACAGGATGTGATAATGATGATGCAACTTTTAAAAACAGTTACTTTTTCTTTACAAATCTTTTCTCCAGAGTAAATGCTTTTCTTTTGCAATTTTTTCATAATGCTAACTAACTATTGATGTAAGTAAACAGTTTATTTTAGATACATTTGTCCAATTTTTGCTTTCCTGCGTCAGAAAGCGTTCGTTTAATCAGGTTAGAAACTTTTAGAGGTAAAATATTTGTCTTTTTTTCTCCCTGTTGTTAAAGTGTGTTACTGCTGCAGTCTGACTGCGTATCAGAGAGCTGCAGGATGAATCAGCAAGAGTGTATTTAAAGTCTGACTTTCATATTTCTAAAAAAAAAAAATCGCAGACATCAGCAAAAATTAGACCTTAGACTCAACAACTTTTATTGTCATTTACACAGAGTGTATGCTAAATTAATTTCTATTTCTTACAGTGCAGCAGTGATCAAATGTAAACATTGTTGAAGAAAAAAAAAAAGAACGATATGGAAGTTTAGAGCATTAAATAAATATGCTGCAATTATGCAGTGCAATTAGCTTCTAATTACTGAACAACGCTAAAGAGAAGGGATGCCCCTGTCCTAAACATTTCCGGATGATTCTAGACCTTTGTTATGTTTGTTCCTGCTGAAACTTTAGGCTGATGATGTTCTTGTTTTTTAGGGGGTTCTTGCTTCTTGAAGGAGGTGGAAGGTGGAGGCTCCGGCACGTCATCCTGTTGGTTTTACTCTGGATGTTTCTGCACAGGACCGGTACGTCCCGCCTCAACATTTCACTTTTACTCTGTGTTTTCTTGTTTATTCTGAACATAAAGGACTGAAAAGAAGTCATGTAACTCTCACCATTATGAACACTTATTACTGGAGGCAAAAAAGAAAGGAAGGGAAAAAAAGAAAGGAAAAATCAATGCTTTTATTTCTTTAAATTAAAGTGAAAGAACGTGAGCCTTAACATCACAATAAAAGAGCTTAGCTTTCTTCTCAGGTATCCTGACAATAAATCGGTTAACTCTTCCAGCATGTGTGTCGAGGCGAGCTGTTGCATAAATTGAAGGGTGGAACTTTATAAGGAGAGAAAAACAACCTCAACATGCAGAATCCTCGCCTTTCTCAGTAATTATAACCCCGCGGACACACGGAGCTACAAATCACCAAACAAGATCAGGAATTAATCAGAATTTATCCAGATTTCCTGGAAAAGCCTGCGAGAGAAAACTGATAAACAAAGCATTGCTCCAATTAAACAACGCTTAATATTTAGACTATGTGGACAAAACTGTTAGGACCCGACCTCTGTACTCTAACTAGGCAGGAAAATAACACTGAGTTTATGATATTTAATGGAGTAATGTAGAAAAGAAAAACAATCTACTGGTGTTTATAATAATGGTTTAATTCTTCCTATTTCCCTTTATAAACTAAAGAAATGAATAAACCTTCTGTTCGCTATTATTACTGATTGGGTAATAATGGTGATTCTGCAGTAACTGTGACTCTCTATAGTGTTTTAAACTGCAGTAATGTTAGCTTACCTGCTCTGGGTAGATGAAATGAAATGAAATGAAATCTCAGCTCTTAACAGTCGATTTCTTACATTAAAACAACAAACTTCAGTGTATTTTACTGGGATTTTATGTGACGATGAGCTTGAAGAAAAATTATGCAAGAGACTTTTCTAACATTAGAACCTCCGGAACCCCGCCCCTCCCTAGGCACTTAATTTTATTCACCTCTGTACTTTGACTAGGCCATTCCAACCAATAGATCTGCTTTGATTTAAACTCTCCATAGTATTTCTACCTGGATGTTCAGGCCATTTATCCTGCCAGAAGGTAAACCTCCACTCTGGCAGGTTTCCATACATGTTCCCATCAGTATCATGCTGCCACTACCGTGTTGAGGTGCATGTTGAAATCAGTGCCTTCAATGTTTTTATGCACATGATTTTGCACTAAAAGCTAAAACTCTGGTGTCCTCTTGATGGATGCATCTTCTAAATGTTTACCGTTTCCATCATAGAGCTTCGGTCAAAGTGCAGAGGAAACTTACAATGTCATGAAAAACAGATTTCTGGAAAGAAAACGAATCGTCCATTTTCCACCTGAGCTGTGGATCTCTGCAGCTCCTTCAGAGTCTCCTGTCACTTAAGCTGGGCGTTCCATGTGTCGGTTAGGCTGCAGTTCTCTTTCTATCAATTTATTTATTTTCATCTCCAAGATGTCCAGCTAATTTTAATTAAAATAATTGGAAGAGCATCATTTTCTGTCCACTCTGCACTTTGCTGTTCTGTCACATAAAATCTTTTCAAACGTAAATGTTGGTAATTTAAAAAAAAAAGACAGGAAAAGGTTTAAGAGGTGTGAATGTTTTTGTATATTGATATATTATCAATTAATATAAGATATTGATCTTGTAAGTATCAGTTTTTACTTTCTGACTCTGCCTTCATATATTTTGTTCCAAAATTAATCCCTCTGCGATAATCCCAGCCTGAATTAAACTTCGACCACAGATTGACTTAACGGCACCATCGTCCAATCAGCGATGTCTCATGTTTCCCACTGGTACCTACCTTTTCCGGTAGGTTAATGTAGTTGCGATTTCCTTAATGTAGTTGCGCTTTGCTTTAAGTAGTTGCGATTTCCTTAATGTAGTTGCGCTTTTAGATTTGTAGGTGTAGTTTGCACTTCAGGGCCACTGTAGGTTTCCCTGCTTTAGCACAGCTGATTCTGATGAATGCAGTTTAACAAAAGCCTGTTAATTAACTATTAATGTAAATCAGCCGTGCTGGAGCAGAGAAACCTCTAAAACCTGCAGGACAGCGGCCCTCGAGGACGGACTTTTGGGATGCCTGCTTTAAGGTGTAGTGTTTTTCTGCCAAGTGTTTGTGCAAATCGAGCAATGATGAGCAAAATGAAAGATGTTTGTCATTTTTATTCAAACATTATAGTTTTTCTACAGTTTTTGGTTTTAATTGGGTTGAAAGTCTCTTTTGGTTAAACCAATAAATCTAATTTGTCATTGTTTTTACCCAATCTATATTTGTACAAAGGCAAACCAATACACATGAGTCACATTAGCCAAAATACTTATTGTTATTGCAACTTTCAAAAGTCTAAGGCGGATCTCGAACCAACAACCTAAGAAGTGGAAGTTTATGTCGGACATTAGACGCCACTATCACTGATAACTGCTTATCAGACAGCAATACTATTTAAAACTAATGTTACAACTGTGTCCAGTGGCTTGCTAGGATCATTACATTCTTTATTCTAACTGAAATAGTTTTAACCAACTAGATTAATTGTTTTTCCAGCCAATCTATTTTTACAATCTCTCCAAACTCTATCCGACTAACTGCAACTCTACTACAAAGTCCACCATCTTGACTGAGTAGTAAGGCTGTTTAATGGCTGTCGAAGTTCTTGAGCCACTTCCTGAAGCGATCACATGGTATCACGGTAGCGACGCCTCGGACGTCAAAAATTGACATGCACTTCGGGGAAACGGCCATTCCATTACTCGACACACACATTTTTTTTTGTTTGTTTTACAGTGTCTTGTCTGGCAATGTGGCAATAAGAATAATTGTATTGATGCCAAAAATGGGTCCGACAGATTTTGCTCTCAGAAGTGGAGCAGTACGGCTATCACTAGGGGTGGGTATTGGCAAAGAAGTCATGATTCGATTCGAATCACGATTCACATGCCACGATGAGATTCTGTCACGATGCATCATGATACTTGAAATATTGCGATGCAATTTCGTTTTTACCTTCTTTGTTTTTAAAGCCAAAATGCATCCAAGCATCTGACTTGAAATGTGATGGAGCCGCGGGGCGAATTTTCATAGTGTCCTCCATGTTTTATTTCATTTGACTATTCTCAGTATCCCACGGCCGGACATGCTTGTGACACAAAGGAGCGCGCGTCAACACACCCGCAATGACATCTGCTGGACTGGAAGTTGTATTCCACTTGATTTGGCTGATGTGCGCCAACCATTCATGTATTTTTTGTTCATTTTCTTTATTTTTTATAATCGATTCTTGCCTTCAAGAATCGATGCAGTAGATCACAAAAATTAGAATCGCGATGCATCGTCATGACGATTATTTTGCACACCCTTAGCTATCACCATAGTGTTTATTTATGCATATAAATAGCTTTATTATATTTATGCAGCGAATATTATAGATTATTTGGACACTGCAATGTAAGTAGAACGGGAAAGGAAAAACAGGACAAAGGAGAAAAGATGAAAGAAAGAGGAGAAAATACAGAGATAATGATAATTAGGTATATTTTAAAAGTGCTCATTCATGTTCTCTGACGGTTGAAAAAAACATTGTTGAAATAAAAACCTCTACCAGCAAACTATGGTGAGAAACTCATGGAAGGAAACCTAAGAACTTTTGATCCAAATTATAGTGATTAAAGACAAACGGAGAGGAGAGTTTAGTTTTCTGATTTAATGTCAGCCTGAGAAGAAAACAAAAGATTTTAAGGTTTGTTATTTTACATTTCTTCTATCCTGCAGCGTAAACTTCTACAGTTTAGCAACGATTATTCCTAATTGCCTCGTTAAAACTGCAGCTCATGTTGAAACCGACTCTGAACATTTTAATAAAAACCAAAAGTGGACACCTTTAATGTAAAACATTCTTATTAGGTTATTATCTACAAAACAAGAGCAATATTAAAACCTCTTTCTGTCTAAAATATATTTTTACATTTTCACTTTCAAACTAAATCCTAACAGGATTGCAGAGCAGATGACAGTGATTAGGGTTAAATAAAATGTGCCATTAATGGTTAGCGATGACATAAAGCAGGGCAGATTTCAGCAAACCACATGAAGCTGCTCCAGCTGCACATTCTTCCATGTTTTATGACTTCTTATTCACCTCATTTATGTGTTTTTTTTCTGCTTTGGGAATAAAAGCTGCTCACGACTGAAGGATAAAATCAAATCTGAAGATTATTTAGCAAAATGAAATGATCCATTCAGAGACGTCAACAGTTTCCTCAGAGATGCAGCCTTTATTCTGACAGCAGTGGTTTTACATGTTGAATTGATCAGTTTCCTGCCATCTTTCCATCATCGTATGCTTGTTTCTGCTGCGCTTCATCTCACGCTGTTGTTTTTCTCATATTTTCCGTCTCTTTGCTCCAGCATGCCTGGCTTTTCCCTCACAGCTCTATTAACCAAACCCACTTTTCATGCAGCGGGGAAGTTCTGGTCCATGAAACCTTGCAGATGGATCTCTTTTCCATCTGCACGATACTTTGATCGCAGCTCAGAAGATTTGGAGCCACCCGCAGCATTGAAACATGAGCAGATCTTCACCAGAGCGACGCTTTGATTCATTCATTGCAATTATTGCCAGAAAGCGATTAGTGAAATCGATGTGAAGCATTTTTTTAAAATCACATTCTGCTAAATCAAACCGATCACCCTTATCAGCGCCATTAAAACCTGAAATATTCCCACTTTTCCTTCTTACAAATCACAGCTTTCTTTTTTAGAATTTTGTTTCCCCGGAGTTCTGGAACCATTATTTCAAAAATATACGTTTAATATTAATTTCTTTTTCTTTTTCATCCTAATTTAGTCTTCTTTGTAAGAAGGAGCAAAAATTACTATATTATTAGATAAAAACTGAACCATTCCGACAGATTTTCTCAAGAAAAAGTGCATAATTTCACAGGATTCTTGTTTTAAAACAATTTTTTTTATTTAAAATGGTAGA